TGTACATATGGCCAGCTATCCACTTGAAACTCATATATACATATGTTTAGATTGGTTCAAACTACAGATTGGTAGAGATCGTCTTTTTTGCTACGACTGGGCTCCCAGCATGTGGATGCGAATCGTCATTCGACGAGTGATTTCCTGGCAGGGTGACTTACTACCGTCTCAGTGGTATTATGAAAGATATGAGGAGGACTATTCAATGGTCATTCCAGGCTAAAATTCCAGGATACTAAATTGGAGGTACTGTACCATATGTTTGGCCATATTTTGTGCGGATATTCCCTTAAATAGGCCTTAAAACTTATATATGGTAGGTACCTCCAATTTATCGGAACCTGTTGCATGGCCATTGAACTACTGGAAATACCGAAGGTGTCATAGCCTGGGGTTTTTACATACAAGATGTAGAAAACCCCAAGAGTTTCCCATTACCCTCTGGTAAACTAACAAGACTATGGAAAAACACAATTTTTAATGGGAAAATCCACTATAAATAGCCATTTTCAATAGCTATGTTAAATTACCAGAGGGTAACTGATCTACAAATAATCTGGCTTCTCGACCACATGTCTCAAAAACACGAGGCTACAGCGAATTCTGTGGTGCTTGGGCGCCATGAAAAAGGCAAGTCTTGGTGAAATCTTCTGTGAGATCAACTGAATCATGCTGAGCATGGTAAACAAACATGGCTGAAGGCTGAAAATCCAAACCAAATTCCCAGTCCATCACGATTAGAGGATATTTATACATAGTATATATATATTACATTACATACATATGTATTAAATATGATATAATATGTCATACACAGTAATTCATCCGATCTGTATTTGGTCCATCTGTACTGGGGCCGCTGGGGCACCGGCCAGCGGCTTTCCAGCGTGACCGATGTCTGCAGCCTCCGAGGATCGATTGGGAACTCCTTTTAGATGACTTGTTGAGCCAAGAACTTTCGATTGAAACTGCTTGGGATATTTCTGAAAGGTATAAAATAGGATGTTTAGGATGTATAAATCTAGGATCCTATCAGATGTAGGATATACTGTTGATATTTCTAACAGTTTCTGCTAGACCCAGAAATCTGAGAGGTATAAAATAGGATATTTCATGGGATATAGAACTTTCTAGAAGCAACTAACATGAGTTGGCAAGTTGGCTTTGTCTGAATACTCTTGGGACTCTAGAATCCACTGGTTTATGAGAATTGTCCCTCTTAAAATGTTGATTTTGGGTGGTATACCACGTTTTAAGAAACGCCCATTTGCTGGTTTCAAGATGGTGAGTTCCGAATGTGTCCAATTGCAACATTGGATTACTTCACGATCTCACAAGAATCATCATTCAGTATTCAGAAATCTCCACACTTGTGGCTGATCATGATCATATCTCCAGATGAAATTACCAGGTTGGCTTGTTGATTAGGCTAGTGCATCTTCCACTTTGTCCTGAGGTAAAAAAACGGTTAAGTATCCCACAAATTGTTGCTTAACATCGGAGAGTTTATCCATCCCTGTTGGAAAACATCGAATGTTTAGGATATGTCCAGTACTCTTCACTCCATGTGCCATGTGCGTTGATTTTGTTGATTGGTTACTCCCAATGTTTCCTGATGAACCGTGGACAGTTCTTGCCGGCTCTATCACCCATATTCAGTGAAAAGGCAGCAGGGCTGATCAAAAGCATGGCTGATTGATTAGGGTCACCGGGTCACCTGCATAAATGGCTACTGGAACGGAATCTGCACAATGAAACAACCGAGGTCTTTTGAATCCAAAGTTGAGATGAGTGATCCGTTGATGTCCTCATTTTTAGTGGCTAAATCCGAAAGTGTTTGGCTGATCTTTGCATCATGTGTTGCCAAATTCATCCAAATTCCCATCCTATTCAGTATCTGATCCCCATTTTTGGTTGGGTAAGATGCTTACCTGTTGTCACTTATATAGCCCATGTTCCTTCTTACCCTCAGAACACCACACTTGGTTGGCTGGAAATTTACGCATCAAAGCGGATTATTCACCTCTTCAGATGTTGAACCCACAGGTTTGTTTCTTTTGAAGTTTGATATTTCGTTGCTTCAATACCACATATTTAGTGCGTTCTATAATATATATATATATATATAAATTATATAATTACATATTATTACATATTATTACATATTATTACATATTATTACATATGATCATATCATGATATATCATGACAATCCCCATGTTTTGTTGTATTTTTGGGTTGAATCCCAACGATATCCCAACAATGAAGTCGCCATCACCGCCCATTCGACACCTTCAGAAACATTGACACCACACGAGCCGAGCGATCTGCCTGAGGGGATAGTGAGGATGAAAGGGGGGAGCCAAAGAGCTATACGAAAAAATAAACCACCCACAATGGAGATTTCCTGAGATTTCAACGCGCAAAATTGGGTGTCCACATGTTTCAAGCGAAAACACATTGGGTGTCAACCAAAAAATGACAGCTCACAAGGGGGGGGGTCCAAGGCGCCCTCTTTTCGCTGGTCGAACTTTGGGTGCCCCGAAATGGATGAGGTTGGGGATGATCGGACCAGCAATAGCAAAAGTAGAACTACTTTGGGGCTATTTGGGGTAAAACGAAGTTAGGATATAAGATCATATACACTCCAAGTGGCTGCTACCCCTATCTTCCGATTGCCATGACGATAATATAAGTGTAGATAAATATATATATATATATATATACATATATTATGACTATATCCGCCGACCCCTGCCGACAGCAGGGGGAGCGCGTCAGAGGAGGAATTACCAGCAGCAAGGGCCAAGAAGTCATTACAAGCAGCAAGGGCAAGAAGCAAGAAAACATGAAAGAAGAAGCAAGAAGCAAGAAGCAATTACAGGCAACAAGCGGCAAGAAGCAAGAAACAAGAAGCCAGGAAGCAACAAGCGGCTGGAAGACAGGTCAGAGAAGTCATTACAAACAGCAAGGGCAAGAAGCAAGAAAACAAGAAAGAAGAAGCAAGAAGCAAGAAGCAATTACAGGCAACAAGCGGCAAGAAGCAAGAAACAAGAAGCCAGGAAGCAACAAGCGGCTGGAAGACAGGTCAGAGAAGCAAGAAACAAGAAGCCAGGAAGCAACAAGCGGCTGGAAGACAGGTCAGAGAGCTAGTTTTCTTGTCAATTCAGAAAGCAACGGTAGGGAGGCGGCTGGAAGACAGGTCAGAGAGCTAGTTTTCTTGTCGATTCAGAAAGCAACGTTAGGCAGGCGGCTGGAAGACAGCTCAGAGAGCTAGTTTTCTTGTAGGTTGAGAAAGCAACGTTAGGCAGTGGGAGCCGTTGCCCGGAGGCTCGGTCCGTCCTTCAGGGCCCTGCTGTTTTGCTGTGGCGAGGGAGCCGTTTGTGAGCCTTGACGGCTGGAAGAGAGCTAGTTTTCTTGTAGGTTCAGAAAGCAACGTTAGGCAGTGGGAGCGGTTGCCCGGAGGCTCGGTCCGTCCTTCAGGGCCCTGCTGTTTGGGCGTGGCGGAGGCGCCGTTTGTGAGCCTTGACGGCTGGAAGAGAGCTAGTTTGGGAGCCGTTGGCCGGAGGCTCGGTCCGTCCTTCAGGGCCCTGCTGTTTTGCTGTGGCGAGGGCGCCGTTTGTGAGCCTTGACGGCTGGAAGAGAGCTAGTTTTCTTGTAGGTTCAGAAAGCAACGTTAGGCAGTGGGAGCCGTTGCCCAGAGGCTCGGTCCGTCCTTCAGGGCCCTGCTGTTTGGGCGTGGCGGAGGCGCCGTTTGTGAGCCTTGACGGCTGGAAGAGAGCTAGTTTGGGAGCCGTTGCCCGGAGGCTCGGTCCGTCCTTCGGGGCGCTGCTGTTTTGCTGTGGCGAGGGCGCCGTTTGTGAGCCTTGACGGCTGGAAGAGAGCTAGTTTTCTTGTCGGTTCAGAAAGCAACGTTAGGCACTGGGAGCCGTTGCCCGGAGGCTCGGTCCGTCCTTCAGGGCCCTGCTGTTTTGCTGTGGCGGAGGCGCAGTTTGTGAGCCTTGA